ACTTTGAGAACTGTAATTGTAAATATATTTTTCAGTTCAAATGATTACCTTTGGACATGTGGAAAGGTTTTTGTTGGTTTGTTTGTTTTTGTTTTTTTATAAATTGGTTGAGTCTGGGTCCTTTATGCCTTTTATTAGTTAACCAAGTAAAAAACAGTGAAAGTGGATCCTTAACAGACTAAAGGCAATTTGAAATTGTTCTCATTTCCAGGATAACAGCAAAACAACCTGGAAGTAGCATAACATTTGTAGTGCTGTATTAAAAGTTCATAGTGGTGCTCAGAATGGACGCGTAAGTGGACTTAGCAATGGACTCTGATGCTAAAGTGGCTGCACTGTCCCATCTCCTATCAGCAGTCAGCTGTCACATCCCTAACATTAACCAACCAGTTGTAGTTGCCCAAATTGAACAGATGTTCTGTACAGCTGGTGTGTCTGCATCATACCACTGTAAGTTCATCAAAACATGTTGGTTTGAGGACACATTAAGCAATTTCTAGTTGTATATGCTCCTTAGTCTGCTCTGACTAGTAAAGATGCAAATTAACCTTACTGGTTATCCAGTAAATGTTGTATTAACTTTTTTTTTTAATTATATTATTTTTTTATTCTTAACTTTTATATATTATCATATTGTAACAAATCTGTTAAGTGCAATTACAGAAAACCCAAATGAACAATTACCGGGCCCCACCTTCTCAAGGACAGTCGGTGATCTGGAAAATTGTCACTGCTAAGAGAGATCATGAGGAAGAGGAGTCTGCAGATAGAGAAACCTTCAGTGTGCGGTGGAGACTAAACCCAGCTGGAAGAAAGCAACAGCAATCAAAAATAGCAAATGGATGTGAGAGTTTAGTTAAATTCATGCATGGCTGTGTTTCCTGTCTTTAACATGTAGAGTTGAGGATCCTCAGCTTTGTTCCACACAATGACCCTCAGAAGCCTGGCGGATCCTCAGCAGCCACCCACTGCTTCCTGTCTTTGCTAACAATAGACAGTTTGACTGGTCATAGCTCTTACCAAGCAAAATGTCAGTGGAAGTTATTATTAATGCCAATGAAATGTATACGTTTGAGCCAGTGTACATGTATACATGTGCAGACAAATATAGAAAGCTGCACAATGAAACCGCCTACATGATTTCACTATTCAAAGTAAAAATAAATTATATGTTTGTTAGAGTTATAATAATATGAAATAATGTAGATATTTCTAACACCTAATTAACATCATATATGATATACCCAAACAGGTAAAGCAAGAACAACTATTAATAATCATACTATAAGAATTGGTCTAATGTTTGAAACCAATGAAACCAAATTAAATGTAGCCACATTGATATAATTTATTAACTGATTCTAATTTATTATAATGCACGTTTTAGCTGGGTTGGGTCAGTGTCCAGCGGTTTGTCATCTATAGGCATCTAGAATTTTTATCTGATTGTTTTCTAAATGTTGTTTTCTAAAAGCACAGCTGATATTTTATGGTTGTATTCGCTCCAAGCAGAGCGAAACAATTTTTAAAATCATTTCGCCGGTTCGTGTGTATGTGCATATAAAGAGCGACTCCTCCATCAGCACCGCTCTGCTTCCCTGTCCAGGCATTTTCACAGGAGAGACGACGAGCGTCCGTCACGTGACTCAGCGTCCACCAATGGTAATGAGGCTGCCTAACTTTTGCGATAAGGCGAGCACAGTAAAGAGCGAGCGGACTGAAGGAGTTTCACTCGGAGCTCTTCAGTGGTCATCATCACACACAAAGTACTAACCCAACTGGTTCTTAAACCAGCTTTAATATAGACAGTGTCCATCCGGATTTGTATTCTTTTTTTCTTTTGCACTCTGCAGCAGCCCATGTGAGGCTGCAGCATCACCTAGATTCAGGCTTTAACTATCAGATAACCACCACTAACTGGCTGCTGTCTGCTGTTCAAATGCTGGGAGACAAGGCTCACGGTAAGTCTGTCCACTTTAGTCTTCAGCTTTGCGTTCACAGCTTGGAGGTGAATGTGGGAACAAAGTCTCAGCGGACTGGGCCTTATAATAAACATGCTTCAGAGCATCCAGAGATGATGTTGTGATTTAATTCAAATGATCAGTTGTCTGATAAGAACATGGCAGCAGTTTATACAATTTTCCCATTACTGACATGCAGTTAACTAAACCAACTGAAAACAAAACGGCACTTTAAAAAAATAAATAAAAGTAGGCTATAGTCGACCAGAAACTGTGAAATGTTAGTGAGAATATTTAACCAAAATAAAAGAGGGAATAATGCAAAAGTGGCCTGGCAATTGTGGTAAATACTACTCTGGTGATTCAAACCAATAGCGCAGCTAAATAACAATTTATCAATAAATCGGTTAATGATCTAATAATGCTTTCACGCGTGTAATAATGATGGTGATGGGCGCAGCCAAACTCCTTCATTCTGTTAAAATCCACGAGCAGCCGCGCAGCGCGCGTCCCCCTCGGCCTGCCGCTGATCGCCGCGGCGCCGCCTGAGCCGCTCCGGTAACAGGGGGCCGAACCCAAAGGCGCCACAACTAGCAACTTGTTAATGCTTGGTTTTTTCATCACATGTGCCAGATAAACTAACGAGTGAGTAATTAATTAATAAAGCTTCATATGTCACCTGTCAGGTTAGTGCGTTTAGCTCCAGATAACCAGCTTTCACTAAAATAGTCCAGAGAGTAAAAGTCTGAAGAGCTGGTGTGTGGTCACAGGTAGTTTTACTTTGAAAACTAGTAATAGTTTGTCTACCCACATTGGCCTAATGTCAACAATTCATAATCTACATTCTCCAAATGGAGCAAAATGCTGCTGCTCGTCTTTTAACAGGTACTAGGGAATTCGAGGCTATAACCCCGGTACTGGCTTCTCTCCACTGGCTTCCAGTCCGTTTTAAAATTGATTTTTGATTTATTGATTTTTGTTTTTAAGGCTCTTAATGGTTTGGCTCCATTTTACCTCACTGAACTAGTGCACTGGCACAAACCTACAAGGTCCCTCAGATCTTCAAGCCAGTTTCTTTTAGAGGTTCCTAGGGCCAGATATAAACGCTGGGGTGACCGTGCTTTTACTGTTGCAGCCCCTAAATTATGAAATAGTCTACTTTTTAATGTTAGGTCAGCTACTGACCTCAGGACTTTTAAATTCTTGCTTAAAACCTATTTATTTGGCTTGGCTTTTAATACACAGTAGGGCCTGATGCATTCCTTTTAACTGCTTTTAATTTTATTTTATTTTATTGACATATGTTATGTGTGTCTGTGTTATTTGCACTGATCTACTTTATTTTAGTCATTTATTGTGATTTTATTTTGCCATGTAAAGTACTTTGGTCAGCTAGATGTTGTTTTAAAGTGCTATATAAATACATTTATACGTTATGGGTCGATTTAGCTGACATGATAAAAATGTGTGAAGGGAGGAAGGAAAAACACATTCGTGTTTGATGGTTTCATTCGAGTGGATACAGCCCAGCTTTTAATTTTCCCCAGCATGTGCATGTGTTCGGCTGTCTCCCACATTTAACAAAATGCTGTCTTGTCGAGTTACACCTCAACAGAAATAATGATCTCCTCTGTTTTGAAAGTGTTACATTTCGATGAATATAGCTTGTTTAAGAAAAGGTTATACTTATATTTTGGCAACATAACGGTGCGTCAGTAAATTATATATAAAGCATTTTATTCTGAAATGTCGGACAGGCCTATTTATTATGTTAATACAACTATAGTTTCGAACAAAAAAATAAAGTGTAGACCGATTACCTTTTTAATGAAATGCCAGCGGTTTATTTATTCATTTATTAAAGGAGACGTTTATTTAAATAACACTTTAAGATCGCTTTTTGCTTTATGCCAGACAAAATAGCTTTAAAATGTGAAAAAAAGCCAGTAACTATTTCTTACACAGTAATTAAATCACCAGAATTAAGGAAAATCACTCAAATGTGATTCTAGTCTAACACGTGTTTATTTTGTCCTCATACATGCAGAACCTCTGTTCCAGACACATTCACATTTACGTGTTTTAATTTGGGGCTTTGTCTTTAATAACAATAATAAATAATCACACATCGCCGACAGAAAATTCTCCATGGGATGTTGCCACTATTCCTAATGTACCACCTTGTCCTTGGCGGGTGCATGTGTGCGTGGGGCTGTGCCTGTGTGTGTGTGTGTGCATGTGTGTGTGAACCAGGTGTGGCTTTGAAGGTTATGGAATACTCCTATGACGATGACCTGGAAGAGCTGTGTCCTGTGTGTGGAGACAAAGTGTCTGGGTACCACTACGGGTTGCTCACCTGCGAGAGCTGCAAGGTAACCACAGTGGAACGCTGACAAGACGCCTCCACGTTCCCTTTAAAACGTTCAGCCAATACAATTCTCTGGGACTGATACTGAAAACAGCAAACCCCGTTTGAATATTTGCTGTTTTGCATAGATAATGCCATTCTAATTATTACGGTGTGATATTATTACATAAATCTGTTCACACTGATTTCTCGGCATTTTAACCCTCTGATGCGCAAGGCGGGTCAAAACGGACCCGACTGAATGATTTTGTGTGATATCTCCGCATGCGATGCATCTTATAACTCAGTATTTAACCTGGTTGTTTTCTAACATCACACAGAATAATTGTAATATTATTTAGTTTTACTGTTGAATTATTTATTTATTTATAGCAGCAGCCTGTTATGCGCAACAGCGGGCCAAAAATGACCCGGATGGATTCTTGATGGAATTTAGTAGGAAGCCTTAGTTTGTCATGATATATATTTAATTAAGAACATATTTTACTGCGGATCATTCTTCTCAGTGTCATAGTTTAGAAGACTGCAGTAACATCTGTGGGATATATCTGTATCCATTTTCATCTCAGTATATCAACTGTGGGATATATCTGTATCCATTTTCAGTATATCAGTCAATTGCATAAATGTACATCATTGTATATGTTTGCCTGAGGTTAGGAAGATGTGGTAACATGGTGGAAGAAGTGTTTACCTAAGTAAGAGCAGCAATACTACAGCGTAAAAATACTCGGCTACAAGTAAATGGCCTGCATTTCAAATCTTATTTATGTAAAAGTACAAAAGTATCCGCGTCAAATGAAAGTACCAAACGTGAAAGTACTCATTATTCATATTGGCACATTTTATATTAATTTATATCAGATGATTGGATTATAATTATTGATGAATTACTGTGTTCATCACTTGAATGTTGCAGCTGGTAAAGATGTACTTGAAGTACTTTACTGTACAGTACATAGTGCTGGGTAGGTTGTAAATGTCCCATCAGGGATCAGTGGTGTCTGATTATACTGTATTCAAGTTTATTCATCAGATTTTAAAACGTGACTAAAATGTAAACAATACATTATTTGTCTGTGGAATGTAGCGAAGTCTAAGGATGAAGTACCAACGGAAATACTCGAGTAAAGATACCTCAAAATTGTACTTAAGTAGATGTACTTAGTTACTTTCCACAAGTGGGTTATAGTATAGTTATATATGTACAGTTACTTATTGCTTGACGTGTTGTTGTATAGCAAACAATCTGTTGACTGGTTGTGATACAACTAGGTAGTCGCTGATCTGTTGTGTCAGAGCGAGCTAGCTGCTCACCTGGTAAAGGGAGAGAAACACAGCATATCTCAAACACTTGAAAGCAATATGTTGTTTTCTACCAAGAGAATATAAGGTAAAAATATAGAATACACTTGCTTGAGAATATGACTTGGCATCCATTTAAAAAAAGTATTGTGTGTCCTTATTGACAGATTATGTTTAGAATCATGCCAAAATAAAAACAATGACTTAAACTTAAAAACAAAACCAAACAAGAGAAAAACAACTGATTATTTCTTAAAGTCCTTGGTAATGACACAGACACACAGCTTCACAGATATTTCAATGAAATATTTAAATGAATAAAATGAAAAGATGAGATGATAAAAAATGAAAAAAATAAAACGAACCCTTCTTGGGCATTAAAGGGTGTGAAATATCTTGTGCATCAGAGGGTTAAATTATTTGTCTAATTTTTTTTAATCTTTGAAATTAAAATATATATTAAAAAAGAAAATGCAGCATCAGCCTACACTTACTCTGTTTAGAAGCAAAGTAAAAATCTACAAGCTGTTGTCGATTTGTAGGATTTTATCCATCAGATTGAGTGTTACTGTGATTACAGCACTGTTTGTTTCATAGCATAGCAAAAGTTAAACACCTCAAGCCGCTGCCTTCTCCAGTGTTTTTAATGTTTCGTCCATGTTTCAGGGATTCTTCAAAAGGACAGTGCAGAACAACAAAAGGTACACATGTGCAGAAAATCAAGAGTGTAAAATAGACAAGACCCAGAGGAAGAGATGTCCTTTCTGTCGCTTCCAAAAATGCCTCAGTGTCGGGATGCGGCTAGAAGGTACACTTACAAAGCCTCCTTTATGTCAATGGATTTGTTCCTCCTTTCACCATCATAATGATACAACACACACACACACACACACACACTCACACACACACACACACACACACACACACACACACACACACACACACACACACACACACACAGTATTATAATTCAAATAAAAAAATGTAATACTAAAACAATATATTTTTATTTATATTTTTAGGTGTATAACTTTTATTGCTTTTACAGTGGTATCATATGATTACTACAGTATACAGTTTCTTGATTTGTGAGCTGGCGGCTCTCATGTTGTTTCCCGTACACATGGGATGGGATTAATTCCCAGACAGCAATGCAGGAAAGCACCTGCTTCCGTAGCAGAAAAAAGGACACATTCTTGACTTACTGATAAAACCCTGGAGACTCCCTTGTTTTAAATCAAAAGCTCTATTTAGGCTACAAGAAGAAGCTGAGCTGCACAGACTCTGGGGATTCTTCTGTCATTGTTTCATCTGTAAATCTGTTCTTCACCTCTTGTTTCTTGTGTGACAGCGGTGCGTGCGGACCGCATGCGTGGGGGTAGGAATAAATTTGGCCCGATGTACAAGAGAGACAGGGCCTTGAAACAGCAGAAGAAGGCTTTGATACGATCCAATGGGTTTAAGCTTGAGAGCACAGCCCCTCCACCAGGCTCTCCTCTGCAGACTGATTACGGCTTCACCAGCAATCTGCACACCTTGCCCACCATTTCCAAAAGCATGCTCCCCTCCACCCCAAACTCCATCACACCTACAGACTACGAGGCTAGCCTCTATGGACCCCCATCCCTGGGCATGGCCATGCAGTCCCACATGCCCCTCACCACCCAGTACCAGTACACAGCCTTCCCTGGCAGGGCGATTAAAGCTGAGTGTCCTGACTACACCAGCTCCCCTGAGTCTCTGACAGGATATCCCTACCCAGACATGTACCCCTCGGCCTCACCGCAGCCACCCAGCCTGCCGCCGCTGGTGCTGGAGTTGCTGCGCTGCGATCCAGATGAACTAGCGGTGCAGAATAAAATCATCACTCACCTGCAGCAGGAGCAGGGCAGCCGGGGCCGGCTGGACAAGCCCAGCACCTTCAGCCTCATGTGTCGCATGGCAGACCAGACCCTGTTCTCCATAGTGGAGTGGGCTCGGAGCTGCATCTTCTTCAAGGAGCTCAGGGTGAGTACCGAGTTCATGATCCCATCCTCATGCTCACACAAGCACACGTACACACAATCTAAACGGTGGCAAATAATGTCACATTTCCGCATGGCAGACCAGACCCTGTTCTCCATAGTGGAGTGGGCTCGGAGCTGCATCTTCTTCAAGGAGCTCAGGGTGAGTACCGAGTTCATGATCCCATCCTCATGCTCACACAAGCACACGTACACACGATCTAAAAGGTTGGCAAATAATGTCACATTTTACAGCTGCACTGCACTAGTTCTTTGATGTAAAACTCCAGCCTGCATATCTGTCTGGATCCTACAGTTCCAACACAGCTTCAGTCTGTCTCCCTTACATTAACTGGTTTATACATTTTTTGTGAAGTCCATACCATTTTACATTATTTACTATAAAATGGGCTTTGTCTGTTCTCGTGATATTTTTGTGTCATTGCAACTAAATTCTGTAGTTGTCAAATAAGGATGAAATTGCTTCCAGACCTAACAGAATTCTTGTGCACGCTTGTGCCAGTGGTTAATAATTAGTGTTAGTCATCTATGCTGCAGGAGGTGGAACAAAAAGTGATAAAAATCCCATATGCTTCAACAAATGAACTGATTTGGGGAGGCAAACAATTAGAGCATGTGGATGCCACATTCTATTATTCTCTCTTTTTGGTTTATCATGATCTCTATTGTAAACCATTTGTATCATACCTTGTGGTTATAATGCTGTCTGTTTCTTTAGAGAGTGGCAAATCAAAACTGAATTTTGATAAAACATAATAAATGACAAAGGTCTCCCGTATTGAACAGCTACATGTTATTGACAACAGCTGATATTTGCTACTGCAGATGTCCCAGAAAAGTTAATCACATTGATACTTACAAGCTTTAGTAAGGACATTTCACCCTGGTCTTCATTTCCCCCCACTGTCTTCTTCACTTTTTCTCTAACAACATCATATATCAATAGCGCTAAAAATAACATAAACATGGTTATGTAACATTTTCTTGCATAACGAAAATAGGAGAAGAAAATTTGTTTTTTGAGTTGAGGGTTCCTGGTTTAGGCTTGTGTCAATAATGTGTTCAAATTTGATGAAGCTGATTAATATAACAACAACCCGTTTTGTAATCCTTGCAGGATGGACTTGCAGTCCACTTTAAGCAACAGTTGATTTTCAGAGCTATGAAGCTCAGCTTGCAGAGACTAGGAAGTTATGTCTGATTTGATATTTGTCAAAGCTGATGGTCACTGTGATGAATTTCCAAACTGAAGCAAGTGGATTTTCATGCATTTTTGTAGTGACTGCAGATTGTAAGGAACAAATATGACCTGCAAGACAGTAAGAATGTACAGTATTTGAACTCACACTTGGTTAAAACATGGGGGACACTGGAGTAGTCCCTCACTGCTTGAGTGATTTCGCTCTGCAGGAAAGGAAGCAAAAGATAAATTAAGCTTAATGAAATTGCCGTTTCACATATCATCAAATTATGTTGCATTTTAAACATTTCATGAACCTGATGTAGGTTATACTGTAAGCATTCCATATTAACACATAATTCAGTTCAGTTCAATTCATTTTTACTGATATAGTGCAAAGCCACAACAAAATTAAGCTCAAGGCACTTTACATGGTAAAGTCACACAGTAATAGAGACACACCATGTTCAGTCTACAAAGAAGACTGAGCTGATTCATGCAACTCAGCATGATGTTTATTGTGATGATGATGCAGCTCTAAAAATATAAACAGTAATGAGGGATCAGTTCAGTGTTTTAGCATAGTGGTGGAATTCTGTGTGCCTTGTGGCAGTAGCTATTCCTAGCAGGTCCTGTCTGTCTGTCTCCTCTGTGCTGAACAGTAGTTCAAACCACACACACACACACACACACACACACCTCTGTGGATAAAGATTAGACATATATCGGTGTCCCAGTTCATCATTTCCAGCATTGTGATTGTGTTTGTGTACTGCCATGGTCACACACTATGCGATTCGACAGTTCACATAATTTAGTAGCACAGGCAAATTGCTGGAGAAATCAATATGGTTTATGTGGTTACCTATACTGCGTTGCTGACAGTGTAAATGAATACACCTCCTGCTCCAAATGAAAATGGAAGATTGTAATTTTTTTTTTTTTACACGAGTCTGGTTACACAAAAGTGAAGAAAATATTATCTTTCTGATTCAAGATATACAGGTAATCTGTCTATGTTGACAAACAAGCATCTGTTGACAAGCCATGGTGAAAGCGATTCAACCAAATAAACAGTTTAACTACCAACACAGGGCTGATTCTGGCCTTGGTGACATCTTTGTGTCTTAGTGAGGGCAGGTCCCTGCTAGTGAAAAGTAACTGGTAGTATTTTTATCAACGCTGATGTTCAGTACGCTTTTGTTTGCATGGATTGATGGTCATAAACTGGTGCAACAGCACAACAGTGAAAGTACACTTTCCATTTATAAACACACGCACATTGGTCTTACAATAGTTGTGAGGACACTCACTGACATAATGCTTTTCCTAGCCCTTCACCAACTTTAATCTAAGCCTCATTCTAACCTGAATCCAAAAACCAATTCTAAAGACAGAAATATGACAGAAGGATGTCTGATTACCAGCAAATACAACCTAAAGTGTTTGTGAGGCCACACACCACTGGTTTCTTTCTGTCCTTCTTAGACTGTTGCAGGAAAGGTCATAGCCATTGTCATTTATTTTAAAAAGAGACTATTTACTCATTTCACAAAGCACCACTAATCCAGAAAAGTCATCTGTATCAGTGAATCCTGGCATGACATGCTCCTGTTAAACTAGTGTCCAACTGATCAAATACTTAATCTGCTCTCAGTGTCCAACTACCACAGCCCAAAGTGCAAAAATGATGAAGGATGCTCTTGTCTTTTTTTTGTTTCAGAGAACATCAGGAACAGTTGGTCTTTTCTGTTGTTACTTTTGTACCTTCCTTTGTCTCAGAAACAAAGAGCACAATTGTGGTGATGATACTATTTGTTGCTTCTTCTCAGACTAGCAGCAACAAAGTATTGCTATCCTGTCTGTTAGCGGGAGACTTGCATCACCAGTACAGGAGAGAAACAAGAGGCTGCTCAAATGTCATTACCATGGAGCTGATACATAAAGCTAAATCATACATTGATATTGAACCCCTACCCCAAACATACAGATGTTTTATGTACATCAATGCCCAGTTTACCTGTATGTTTGTGTCAAGTCTATATTCACACTGATTTTACAGTTTCTGGCAGAAACACCTTCAGTACACTTTGTTTTCATCTTAGAAATACAGTTTAGTTGCTAATCTGAACCGTGTTCATATGCAGTCTCCGAAGGTGCCTTCACCTCTTAATACAGTGATCTTTGTACATGTTCAAATAACTGAAGCAGCAACTAAACACATGCATCTGGTGTGGTAATCAGGATATGAAGTAATGAACAGGTTAAATCATGTGTGTATTTGCACTCTTTTTTTTTTAACCCCTTGTACAATTAGACCGACATTTGCTTGGAGAAAGAATATTATAAAACACTACTGCCATAAGACAATAGAAAAAACCCTCATATCTTTCATTTCTGGTCTCTACAGTGAGGAGAAGCTGCTGAATTCAAGTTGTTATGGCCTTTTCTAGTTTAAACCTAGCCTTAACAGAGTGCTGTGAGTACCAAACATAAAAAAAAGCTGAATTCTTATCTAAGCAGACATTCTATTACTGTTGCAAAGTGGTATATATAAATATCACTTATAAGATATAGGGTTGGTTAGACAAAAAATGATCTGTCAAATTACTGGTTCAGCCTGCTGTATTATGACTGTGTTGGGAGTTATTTGGTGCATTAAAAGTATAAAGGCGACAATTTCTGTATGAAGGAAATGGTAATGAAATGAAGTGCTATGGTTTACTGTAGTTACTATTTTCAGCTGACAGAATATTTACAATCAAAAGATACAGTTACACCTTCAGAGACCGGGAAAAGCAGCATATAGAAAAATGCAGGCAGGCTGCGGCAGCAAAGCCAGATGTGAACAAAGGTCATATTCACAGTTTTCTGTTGTGTTTTGTTTCACCGTAACAACTGTGCAGTCTTATTTTCTTTCTTCCTCAGAACTTTGTGTTATACACATTTGATGTATTTTTGCTGCTGGTCAGACCACTTTTACAGTGGCCAGCCAACATGTACACTGAGAACAAAGCTGTGCATATTGTGCCAAGAAAGCCTCCTGCAGAAAGAACAATTTCCCTGGGCTAGATAATTACATTCCATGCACATGATAATGGGGGAATGTCAGCTCTCCACTGCAGCTCTGCACTGCACCCATCTACATTGTTATTAAATTGTGAACAGAATGAAAACTATTGATTTTCTGCACATCCCCAGACGTGGCCTTTGTCATGTCTTGTGTTTGACCTTCAACTCACATGCAGAACATGGAAGATGTTGCTGAGGAGGTGCACACAATAAATATCATAAATGCTCAGGCAGTGTACCAGAAACAGTTAATATAAATTTAATTGTCCAGACATATTTTGAACGGTTTTGTTTAAAACTGGTTGTAACAGATATCCACTCGGAGCTACAAAACAGAGAGACACCATGGGCTATTGGAGAAACAGCAAGATAAAACATACGAATATTTTTCTTCTGTATCATGTTAAATTATAGGATAGTTTCCCCTCTTTGTTGATTTGAGACCTCTGTGCCCTTGCAGTATTGCATTAATTAGCATTTAGTGAACATAAGCTCTGCAAGCCATTTTACAGATTCAGGGAGGTGTTTCAGATTATGCATATTTGTTGCATGTTCTTCTGTCTTATTATGCTGCATCTCTGCTGCTCGACCCAACAGGTTTGTTGTTGTGTTGCAGCACAGGTTGGATTATTAGTTTGTCTGTCCTAGGCTAGTTTGCCTATAGCATGTCTTTAGCCTACCAGAGTATAGTTTAAGTATTAGCAGGTCACTATGGTCAGGCATGGCTTTTTATCTCCAAACATTGCTTCTATATAATATTTTCTGCTGCTTGACCAAACACTGAACACTGCTCTGTCTCCACTGGTTCTTCCAGGCTGGAGAGTGCTCTGCAGCAGTCTGAGCACCATTACACACTCAACACTCAACACTACTCCCCTAGCTGCAACATAACTATACAGTTGGAAAGGAGACACTTCTCGTGGATGCTTTAAAAACTCTCACACAACTTCAAATCACACTCTACACATACAGGTATATTTAACGTCAACTGATACTGGAATTCCTCAGAATAAAAACAGATGGTTTCAGTGGTAAACACGAGTGTATAAAAATGTAATGTACTGTAATCCCACTGAATCCAGACTTGTTGGATTTTAAATGCTGGTTTTGTTGTTGTCAAGGTTGCTATATTTTACACAAATGTATTTTTAAAAGATGACACCAATATACTGTATCTGAGCAAACGTTACCATTGCCATACTTACATATCTGCTGATATGAAATGGCCATGACACCACCAGCCTCACTTACTCAATAAACACTCAGGTCCACTTGTGGACTATAGTGGATTGGAACAGTGTGTAAGAGGCCTACAGGAAAACCATAATACGACCAGTCCCACTGCCCATTTTTTTGTTATAGTCATCCACCTCAAGCAAAGCACCAAATGTCCAGAATTCACTGGCCAGTCCTTAAAATAGTCACATCTTCTATCTTAATGGCACCTATTGCTTCTCTGATGCATTCTTTGTTAGTTGACATGACATTATTCTACTTCTTTGTAACCACACAGTGTCGTGAAAAGAATATTTAGGCTTTTAGAAATATTCCACTGAATTTATGCAAGTTATACAGTATAATAGGCTTTCTGGTAGTGGAAATGGAAGAAGGGAGATAAACAATTTGCATTAAAAAACACCATAAACCTTTTGTGAGAAACCACACCATTCTCCACTTTTATCATAACCACCTCTGCTCTGCTGCCATCACATTCACAGCATCATCCATACAATTCTAGAAGAATATTTATAGAATGTGACTCTGGTAACTCTTCCTCTACTGCTGACCAGGTGACGGCACTGCCAGCAGCCGTGCAGTGTCTTGATGGTTCATCTCTGAACCAGTACTACCATGCATACTTCTTATTTTCTGTCATAATCCAGAGATTTTTCCTTCATGGCTGTGAGCTAAAGCATGGCATTTGACAAGCATACAGTACAATGTGATACATCCATGTGGGAGAGAAAATACAGCCCTTCTCCCTTAATTTGTGGCTGCAGCTGAGTGTCCAACTCCTCTTGGAGAGGAAATGCAGGAGGTCGCCGAGACCTCTTGCTTCCTTAACCCCTTCCTTTATCACTGTACAACCAGACCCCCTCCACTGCAGCAGTCTGTGGCCAACAAGAGTGGATCCTCTCTTTCTACTGACAGTAGTACAGTTTCATTCAGATTGACAGTAATTCTGTCAGCTCTGTGTCAGATTAAACCTCAATGACAAGGAAAGAAGCTAGAATAAATATATGCATGAAGAGAGTGAACCTCAGACTGTATACTTGTTTTAAGCTAATGTTGTTTTTGTGTCTCTTCCTTTATCTGTCTCCCCTTACCGTCTGTCTGTCTGTTTCCTGAAGGTGGGAGATCAAATGAAACTGCTCCATAACTGTTGGTCTGAACTTCTGGTCCTGGATCACATTTTCAGACAAGTGCAACATGGAAAGGAAGACAGTATCCTGCTGGTGACTGGCCAGGAGGTAACAACTCCCTCACACTCCCCTATCAACACAATGCACAGTCAGCTTCATTCACTTACTCTTTATTTCATTCAAAATTAAAGAAGGGCTCTTTTCCAAATCATTGGATTGTAGTTGTTGTGTGATGTCCAGTGTGTATAGTCTTCTCCCGATTTATCAAATGGACCAGGATGATAGATATGCTGATAGTCCATTTTTCCAGTGCCAAACTAAAATGTCCAAAGCTTAAAACCTTTAAATGTGGGTATTTAATGCTACAAGGCACAGTATATAATGTTTCCTCCAGAACTATATGTTACAGTAGCCTCTGGAACAGACGAGAGTTAAATTATTTCAGGGTTCAGTGGAAAGAAAACTGCATTTAAATCACTTAAAATTCAGGACTAATTTGATTTCAGCTATACACAAAATCCTATGTTAGGTCTCCCACACCACTGTGGTTCAATTCAATTCAGCTAAATTCACTTCATTTTAATGCGCATCTCTGTAAGGCAGAATGAGAACATGTTGTTTTAAGATTAAAAGTATGTAATTAAATGGTATTGCAGACAAAACATTAATCATCAGAAGACTGCCATGTAAGAGGTGGGCTGATAATAAAGCACCAAACCAGTCTTTAGCTAGAGCTGCTGTCAAAGTGCTGATTAAATTCTTTGAATGGGATAAATATACTTATATATATATATGAATAAATATACTTATATATAAAAACAAACAAAATTAGAAGCCCTTGCTATGTACAGGTTGTGAAATGCCACACACCCTGTAGCTGTTTTCTATCTTTGGTTTACACCATATCCACATGCTTAACATTAAAGCAGTTAAACCAATATGAATATGAGGAGTACTGTATAGTTGCAAAGTGAAAAGTGATACACAGTCTTTTAAAATGATTGGTAGCACAAACTACAGGTGCTCTCATACTTTAACATGTTACATTCTCTACAGTAAAACTCACATTGAGTGATAAGCTTGATTTTTACCTAAAATAATTAAAAATAAAGAAGGGAAAAAAAACACAAACATCTTCAGGTCCTTCAAAAAAATATGAAGTGTGTCACAAAAAAGGGTTATAAAGGCCGTATAAATTAACCAGTAGCCTGTTTCCAGGTGGAGCTGTCCTCCATCCTGTCCCAAGCTGAGGTGACTCTGTCCAGTCTGGTCCAAAGAGGTCAGGAGCTGGCAGCGCGGCTGCGGGTCCTGCAGGTCGACCGCAGAGAGATCGCCTGTCTGAAATTCCTTCTCCTGTTCAACCCCAGTGAGTCAACATTATATTTGTGCTTCATCGCTGTGGTGTGATAAAGTGCTAAAAAAACAAAAACAATAAGGGCTTCTAGTCAGAGCTCACCATCAGGCAAACATGATGGTGAATGATGAGTGGATTGTCAGGGTAAACACAGAGACACAAAAACAGTATTAATAGTTTATACAGTATATACGTAGAATCTCTAGTATTTTAAGCAAGAATGATTCATCGTTCACTGAGCTATCTGCAAAGCAAAATGTGCTTTGAAAGGCCTGAGCTTACGTGTTTAGTCTGCGGATTGTGTATTTTCAGGAGAATAATGAAAAATCAATCAACTTTGGGGTGCTGCAGGGTCATCCTGATGCTGTCTTTTGGCAGAATTCAAATGGCAACACTGACATTTTAATGAAAAACGGTCACAACTACAAATTATCTGCAGTGCCTATTTTTCTATAAGGTTACAAGTGTTTTTCAAGCTGGCCTTTTTCTCTCCAATAAATTCACTTAATTAAATTTCTTGGGTTGATAAAAGCCAATATTAACAAAGACATCCTCCTCCATTGTCCACTAATGGTATTCAAAAGAAGCGTAATGGATGGGTCTATCATTCGATGGCAGGAGCGACATTCATGTAGCGGCTTCTGCAGATGGAGAGAGCATGGATGCGGCTGGCCCAGATTCCCAGAAGTGTTTGCTGTAAAGCACTGGCAAAGCAGGGAACAAAGAGCTTTTGAATGGAGAGAGCACTTATAGGCAGAAAATATTTGCTGTCTGTGCTGGCGGCGTCTCTGCTGGCGTTCTCGCTCTCCCTCATCTTCAGAGTCAGGTTTGTTGGGAGGTAATTTAATTGCCCTTAAGCAGTTTGAAAAGATGATTCAGAACATTGATTCAAAACATTTAATTACTGTGTGAATGGATCTTCAAAGATGGGCTCAGCTGATGCTGAATGCCGGTTCACTGGAGGGCTGGCAATTGTCTCACACACACAAAACACAAGCGCACATACACCTCCACCCACACTCCATGCACTCACTTTACTTCATACGTAAAGTATAGATGCCTTCAAACCTCGTACTGACCAAACCTTAACTAGTTTCTGTTCAAAAGTGCTAATTTTATGCAAATAAAAATGGTTAAATAAAACCAGAATCTTCTAGAATTGGCCTTTTCCAGACATTTCAACATTAGTGGTCACTAGCACATGGAGTTTGCTCAGTTGCTAAAACTGGACTTAAGTATAAAACTCCACCTCCTGATGAAACGTCGTTGAAACATAGCAAGTGGTCCTTGAGATAAGATTATTTGTCAAACTGCTATTTCTACTTTTAGTGGGTCCAGAATGAAGTGAATAGTTGAAAAACAACATTTTGGAAAAAAAAAATTTAGCAGGTTATGCAGAAATTTAAACAAGATTACAAAATGACAGAGGCTTAACTTTTCTGTTTCTTGTTAATACCATTTTGTGAATGCTCCCTATTTACTGTTAATTTTATGGGCTGTCATGTAAATAACAGCTATACAACAGTGCAATAAATAGCAGAAGGAAAACAAGCAGGTTTCATGGCGTCCTACAAAAAGAACTATATCCACAGCCTCACTTTACCTCTGTGTGTGTCTGTGTGTGCAGATGTGAAGCTGCTAGAGAACCAGGCATTTGTGGAGGGTGTCCAGGAGCAGGTGAACGGAGCACTCCTAGAATACACGCTGTCCACCTACCCTCAGTTCCAGGAGAAGTTCAGCCAGCTGGTGGTGCGGCTGCCGGAGCTGCGCTCCCTCAGCACACAGGCCGAGGACTTCCTGTGCTACATGCATCTGAGTGGAGAGGTGCCCTGCAACAACCTGCTCATTGAAATGCTGCACGCCAAACGAGCGTGTGTGTGAGGGGTGTACGCAGGATGTTCCACGTATTGTTTGTCTTAGGTGAGATTGTATGTGGGTGTGTGTGCACACGTGAGGGAAGGTGTGAATGAGATGAAAAAAATCCAGTGAAGATACACAAGTTCATACTGGGTCATCTTTGTGAGGAGAAAATGTTCTTTTGAGTTGGAATCATAAACCTCCATCGAGGCAGTTGTGAGACTTTTAATGGTAATGTTTTCTTTTCCTGCAGAGCTGCATTAATGTGACCTTTATAAATTGGATTTTCTATCCTGTTTTCAAATTTAGAATTAGATCTGCCTGTAGAGTTACATTACCCCATGGAACATCACATGCCTGCAATGTCACCAGCAAGATTTTTTACATCCCACACAGCTGCCCAGCAGGGTTATAATAGGTTTCCCTTTTTATATCAGTTTTTATTTTGCTATCATTTTGTTATCAGCAGCCTGGATTTCTGCTTAGTTTTAGTTCATTCCACCAGTGGTTTCTTTAGTCTCAGTTTAGTTTTTATTTTATAGACGCATTTCTATTTAGTTTGAGTTTATTTTAGTTCCACTTTGTGTTTTAGTAATTTTAGTTGTCAAGGACCAGTGTGAAAATAATCACCATGAAGGCTAAACTGCACTAATATGTGCAATACATTTGTTTCAGAATGACAAAACCTGTTAATAAACAAACAGCAAGACGATTTGAATGTATGACCAATTTACTTCAGGCCAGTTTAGTCGTGTCTATACACTCTGCTGTTGTCTCCGCAAAGTGTCACTTTCCAGGCCTCTCTCACCAGTTCTTTGACTCTCGGAGTTGCACTTTGCCTTTTCAAAGCAATTAATGTATTGATGTGTGAAGCTCCCACAGTTTGAATTTGGGATCAAGTACAGCATTAAATTCTTTGGAAACTTGCACGTCACATAATCTGGATGACAAACCAGACTTGATGAGTAGACTGATAAGTGTATTGTCTTCACTGGAACAGGTCATCTGCTCCTCTGATCTTTTCAGGCAGTGTGTTAGGCTCTGCTGCTGAACACATTGCTAACGTTACCCTTGTTGCTAACACTCTT